ATTAAATCCCCCAACAACAAATACTCAAAGAAACAACTGCCCAATAAATAAGTGGGCTAAAGACTTAAAGAGAAACTTCTCTGAAGAGGAAAGAAGGATGGCCAAAAGACACATGAAGAAATGCTCAACCTCCCTAGCCACAAAAGAAATGCAAATCAAAACAACATTGAGATACCACCTCACCCCAGTTAGAATGGCTGTAATCAAGAACTCTAATAACAACAGATACTGGAGGGGATGTGGCCAGAAGGGAACCTTACTGCATTGTTGGTGGGAGTGTAAACTTGTTCAACCATTTTGGAAAGTAGTATGGAGGTTCCTCAAAAGACTCCATCCACATAGAGCTCCCCTATGACCCAGCAATCCCACTTTTGGGCATTTACCCAAATGATCACAAACAAGACCATACTAGCGCTACCAGCACAACTATGTTTATTGTAACATTATTTACCATAACTAAGATATGGAAGCAACCCAGATAACCCTCAGTAGAGGAATAGATCAAGAAAATGTGGTAAAGATACACAATGGAATTCTATGCCTCTATCAGAAAGAATGGCATTGCCCCATTTGTTAGGAAATGGAAAGTGAAGTAAGCCAGGCCCAAAGAAACATAGGTCCCATGGTTTCCCTTATTTACAATAGCTAGTATATGTCTGAGTCAAGCAGAAAAGGTCAGATAAGTTGATGTTAGGGAAATGAACCCTAAGATATGTATTCAAATGGTTTTCTAATTGTTTCTAATATATTTATAAGGTGATTTCTTTGTTGCTTTGTATGTCCCTCCCCATGGTATAACCCCTACTCTCACTGTATTTGATGTTGGTATAATTTGTGGAGGGGACGGGAAAAAACAAATGTTAAATAGGGATACAGGTAGACCCATTGCAACAATGAGAGGTACAAAATGTTATTTCAAAAATGAACTTTACAACTTTGGCTGGGGGTGAGGGGTGGGGGGGAGGAGGGAGAGATGGGAAGGGATGGGAAGGGGAAACAAAGGAGGAGGCAACAATGCTTGATAAGAAATGTACTCATTAGGGGTTGGGAAGTTGGCTCAGTGGTAGAGCGCTTGCCTTGAGCTGAAGAGCTGAGGACAGTGCCCAGACCCATAGTTCAGGCCCCGTGACTGGACCCCCTCCCCCCAAAAAAAGAAATGTACTTATTATCTTGCCCATGTAATTGTAACCCCTCTGTACGGTATTTTCACAGTTAAAAAAAAAAAAAAAAACTTTCCAGATCCTTCTGAGTAGCTGGGAAGCATTCATTTGAGGCTAGGTTATTCACAAAGATGGAAGTCTGCTTGATGAGAACTTCAACTCAAGTGCATGACTCCCAGCTGATCTGTGAGGAAAGGATCCCTCCTAGCTGAGCTTTAGTGACAGTAGATAGGATGGATTGAAAATCAAGACAGGGGAGATAAAGCCTATGAGATCATTCAATATGTATTAAAATCATAAGAGGCACTGAAAATTGGAGCATAGGATAGTCATAGAACTGAGCAAAGTGCAAAGTCATAGAAGCTACTTTGCAGATCAAATTGTCATGATTCACCCTTTTTGGCAGCTTGGAGGGCACTGATGGCCTGCTCTGCCTCCAAAGATCTCTTTAAGAGATCCTCTGATTTGTGCATATCATTTGCAGTCTGTAAGCCTCAGTTTCCTTATCTATAACACTAAAGGTCTGGACTGTTTTCCTGATAATCCCTCCAGCATATTTTGAGACCTGAAAGGAGACTGCTGAGAGAAGGTGGAGTTCCCAGCCCCCTTCTCTACTAGCTCCATTACTAGGCAATTGGCCAAGTACAATGTCCAATGGATCACCAGTCCACCTCTGGCTGCCAGGGACCAGAAAGAGGTGGCAAGAAGGGAAGGACATTACTTGGGAGAATATGCATGTTCACAGCTCTGAGGATTAAAGGCCCATGTTCTTATCACTGCTGAACAGAGTATTATAAATCCAGTCTTAGAATACCAAATCCCCTTGCGGCTTGGCCGTTGTGAGGGAATATTAAAAAGGCCGGAGACAGAAATAATCAGTTTCCGAATGACACATTGTCAAATAAAGCATTTTCTCACATTATCCTTTTCTTTCTTTTCTCTGGTTCCTTCTCCTATGCCTGCATTTTAACGTGAAGGGAAAAAAATAATAAGATAAAAATGAGGCCAGGCTGAATGGCATTCAAAGTTTGACTTTTTCCAAAGGCTCTCTTGGTGGGATAGCTCAGGGTGCTTTTTCTGAAATTCTCTACAACTTTCCAATTTTGATATTGTATGTGTAAGGAAATTGGCATGGGTATGAGAACTGGGAAAAAGAAATCAGCAGAATAGGAAAGACATGTCATAGAAGGTGTGATCTGGGTCCCTGTGAATACCCGGGCTGGAGATGATATAAGGACTTTTCTTTGCATTTCTCTTGCAAATCTAGTTACAATTGTAGGCACCTGAAGGTTTATTATGTATCTTCTCTGAGAGGAAGTCCTGCATCTTAGCTGAATAAATAGCAGCTTAGGCCCTGGAGTGGGAAAAATCCGATCATCAGCCAGATGATTGGATCACAGCAACAAAACCATGGTAACATGGGGTGGAGAGGGGCAGTATTTGGAAGTGGTACTGTGGCTCAGATGGTAGAGCGCTAGCCTTGAGCTGAAGAGCTGAGTGACCGCGCCCAGGCCCAGAGTTCAAGCCCCACAACCAACAAAAATAAAAAAATTAAAATTAAAATTAAAAAAAATCATTGGGGGGTGTCATAAGAAAAGAGGACAGCACCACCCCCAAATTGAAGAGGTGAAGATACTCCTCAAGACATGGATCACCATGCTGAGAGGGATGGCTGGGTTGAGATGAACTTCTTGGGGCTGCTGTCTCAAGCTAGATGTCTGACAAACTACAACAACAACAACAACAACAAACAAGCAATCCTTTGTCTCACAGCTCAGGAAGATAGAAGTCCAAAACCATGGTGACAACAGGCTGTTTTTTTTTCTTTTTCTGGTAGCTCAGAGGGACAAGCTGTCCTAGCCTGGAATGTCACTGGCACCCCTTGCTTTGTGAATATATCATTGGAATCGCTGTGTCCAGCCCCACATGACTGTCTCTGTACCCGTGTGTCCCTCTGTCCTCTCCGCTCATTATACAGGTGTAAGCCATTGGATGTAGTGCTTACTCTAATCCAGTATGACTTCATATCAACCAATTACATTTGAAAAGGCTCAATTCCCAAATACAGCTACCTTCAGAGATCCCAGGCAGGCCACTGTTTAAACCAAGAAGGATATTGGTGATCCCTAATATAAGAAAGATCCAGGCTGAGGGAGCAGGAAGAAAAGGAAGCAAGAGCAAACCCTACTTTAGGAGCCTGCTAACCATCTAGCGTGGCTCCAGGCTGGTGTAGCCAGGTAGCCCGGGTGAGGCTACCTTTAACACCCCGGGGGGTGTTAAAGGGTCTTGGATCCAAAAATGGGAAGTATGGATATTATTCTGCCACCCCTGGGGAGTCAGGGAAAAGATTTAATCCAGGGAGTTGGGTTAAAATACTTTGGTTTAGTATAGAGGGATAGGAAAGCTAAAAGAAAGAGGCTGGTGTTGGCAGATATTTGTGGTGTCAGACTCTCTTTCCAGATCTTCTGTTGTCTTGTTTAATCCTTAATAGAACTTTTCACATTGAGAACAGTCGGCTTCCTTTTAAAGGGAGCCTGCTGGAGCCTTAGAAAGGAAAATATTGTAGTACACTTGTCACGGCCAACAGCAAGCAGAGAGGCAGAGATTCACATGCCCCAGATTTGTGTTTTCCTTGTCATACCACTCTACCCTGACGTGGCCTGCACTCACCCTGCTCGGGCTGTGCTGGGGAGTCTGAAACGCACTGTCAATCACTGAACAGGAAGAGGAGGCAGATCCTGTCAAGAAAGACTCATGGAAGGAACACCCCAGAAGGAATAGGCACCGTCCTCTCCTCTCCCATCCTCCATAACCTCACAGCTTTGTAAAAAGTCTTCTACTCCTAAGGAGGAGGTAAAGGAATCATTTCACAGGTCTACAGTTTACTCTCTCTTAGAAACGCATGCCCTTCAGGCAATGGACTGACATTTTTATTCTCCAGGACTCTCAGCTCTTCTGCAGCCTTGTTTGTTTGGGGGCAGCTCTGGAATGAGCACATCCCCAATTGGACTGGATATCATGCAGTCCTGGGCCCTCAGTTTGCCACCCCGTGAGCTTTGGTGCTTTGGCCTCTTTATAACTTGCTTTCTGGAAATCTGCAGCTTTCTCTTCCTGCATCCTGGCCTTGCTCTACTCTTGCCCTGAAGCTTTATTCTCCACTCTCAGAGCCTATGTTAGTTCCTGCTTTATGCTCGGAGAGTAGGTGTTCGGGACTGGCTCACCCTGATGGATTATTTCTCCTTTCCTTTTCCCTTTCCCTTTCCACGTGGGCTTTGTCCTTGTTGGTCATGGGACTTGAACCTTTGGCCTGGGCTCTGTCCTTGAGTTTTTTTGCTCTAGGCTAGTGTTCGACCACTTTGACCTACAGCCCCACTTCCAGTTTTCTGGTGTTTAATTGGAGATAAGAGTCTCCCAGACCTTCTTACCCAAACTTGCATCGAACGGTAATCTTCAGATTGCAGTTTGAGTAGCTAGATTACAGGTATGAGCCACTAGTGCTGAGCTCTGTTTTGGCTTTTCTGTTTGCGTGCTGATAATGCAGTAAGAAGAATGCGGCCTGTGAAGAAAGAGGAGTATGGCTGCGTAAGCCTGGGTCAGTACAGAGCCTGCACCATGAGAATCAAGGCTCAGAAAAGTCAAGTACTTTGCCCCATTTTGTTGATAAAATACTAGGCTTGGAAGGCCAACGTCTCTGGCTTGAAAAGCATGACTGGGGGGGTTCCTAAAAGTGTCAAACGCAGGGCTCCCGGCTGAGCATGATGGGTGGGGGGAAAATCCCCCTTTGGCTCTCCAGCCCAAAGAGCACTTGTCCATTTGTCTGTCCTTGCTTTCTGCCCCCAGGGTGGCCTGATCGCTCTGTTGCTGCTGCTGCTGGTGTTCACCGTGGCTCTGTACGCCCAGCGGCGCTGGCAGAAACGCCGCCGCATCCCGCAGAAGAGCGCCAGCACAGAAGCCACGCACGAGATCCACTACATCCCATCGGTGCTACTGGGTCCCCAGGCCCGGGAGAGCTTCCGCTCCTCCCGGCTGCAGGCGCACAACTCCGTCATCGGGGTACCGATTCGGGAGACCCCCATCCTGGATGATTACGACTACGAGGAGGAAGAGGAGCCACCCCGAAGGTCCAACCACGTCTCCCGTGAGGAAGAATTCGACAGCCAGGTGACCCACACCCTGGATACTTTGGGCCGGGCAGGAGAGGAGAAGTTGGACTTTGAGAAGAAGGGTAAGTCATCCTTGCAGCCCGTTTTCTAGGGTGGGGGCGGGGAGAGGGGGGAGAGGGGAATTTGGGGGTGGATGGGAAGAAAGAGGTACAGGAGCTGGGAGGTTGGGGGTGCCAGGAGGTGTCTGGCGAGGTCAGTCATGTTGGATGTGGAGCCTCGTTTTCTGTGGAGTTACCAGAACTTGTCTCCTCTGGTCTCTCAGTAAGATGGGACTGCAAGAGACAGACCATGCTCCTGGAAGTGGAGTTTTGAGGGACATCCGAGTGTAGGCCTGTAGTCCAACTAGTATTTAGTATTGTTGTTTGCAGATTGTCCTTAATAGCTTTCTTAGTAAGCAGAACCTGGTTCATATTTCTGGACATATTACATGTTCACCCATAGGATTATAAGCCTGTGTTCTTGTCTCTTCCTTTCCCCCCATCCCCATCCCATTGAGAAAGAAAATGAATTGGACGTTCTTGCTCCAAGGAAGCCCTTGAGGAATTTGACAACAGGAAAACAAACAAATAAAAAAATTACTTGCAACTTTTACAAATCAACCTACATAAACCTAGCTTCTTCAGTTGTTTTGTGCGCAATACTTCTCAGATATGTCACCACTCTGGGCATTGTTTCCTAGGTGGAGATTCCTATTTTTCCCATGTTGGAATATCATACCTGAGCTGGCTCTCTTCCTTTCCCAGATGGCAGCAGGGCACCACTGAGCAAATGAGGTTGTCCCCTCCCCCTGGCTGGATGTTAGGTGTCTCTTGACGCAGGTTGAGATCAGACTTTCAGCTCTTGCTGGCTCCCAATGGATATTTGATGACTAATACCTTTCATTCATTTTCTTACGTGTTGTTGCCAAGACCTGTTTCCTTTGTCCATTTAAGGAGCAGGTGATGGTTTGGAATAAGTAGAGGAAAAGTTGGGTTGTATTTGTCACGATTAATTGTGTATGACTTGAGCTTATGCATAGGTAGAGTGGGGCTATTTTCCTTTAGATAAATGCTACCAAGATACCATCCTGCTTTTCCCCCTCATTATGTCTGTGAAGCTGGTCATGGTGATGGGTTAGAGTGCAGATTCAGACTCCCTTCACCCATGGCTCTAAAGGTCCTCTTATTGTGTGGCTTGGCCTCAGCCCTGGAGCTCTGGATCCTTTGTTGACCTTTTCTGTTCCTAAGGTTCTCCTCTCATGTCCATCTTTCCAGTGAAGCTGCATGAGGGAAGAGGGACAGTGGGGGCTGCTTAAAATGGAGAGATTTTGGTTGAGCCTAGAACCTGAGGGAGAGACAAGAATGGATATATTAGGTGCTAACTTGGTTTTTCAGGGGGAGGGGCGGGGGTGTGTGTGAGGCCTTCTGGACCTGGGTTGAAGTCCTGCATCATTTCATTACAATGTGATCTTGGCAAGATGGGATTTTAACCTCAGAATCCTCAGTGAGGGACCAATAAGGAGTATGCACACATATGCATGCACACACGTGTGCACACACACATTCACTCACACACACACATACACATACACATACATATATGGGAAATTCCTAAAGCAAGGCTGCCCATAGTAGGTGTTGAACTCCCAAGGACTCTATTTGTAAATATCTGGCTTTGAGGCTTCTCTCAGATTCTGAGATTCCTAAATTTACCAACAGCCTTCCTCTACAGCCTCTTTTAGGTCCTCCCTCTAGGGAACTCTTACCTCTATCCCAGTAGATGTTATGTCTCTATTGATACATCTGTGGATGTTGAAATTACCACTTGCCACATTGTACAGTGTAAGGTCCGCTCCTGGATGGCAAGAAGACTCCACCCTCCTCGCAGCAAAGTCTCCACCCAGTACCTGCATTACCTAGGCAACTGGCACACCTGGAAGAGGTCACATCTGCATCTGCTGAGGTCACATCTGAATTTGATGTGGCCACACCTTTCTCCACCCATACCCTACATAAGGCCTAGCCCAGGCCCAGATGTGCTCTTTTTCTAGCTCTCTTCTCTTTCTCAGCTCTCTCTTTCCTAGCTCTCTCTCATTCCCAGGCCTTTCCCAGCCATGTGGAGGGCCAACATGGCCTGATGCCAGCCGGAACAATGAATAAACCTACCCCTTACCTGAATACCATGTGCATGGTGCTGTTGTTACTCACTTACCTCTTTTTAAAAACCTAACATACAGAACAATCAGATTCCCTTTCTAGACTATACTCAGAGGTCTTTGAGACCATGTGTAGTGCCCTTCATCTTTGTCTTACTAACATTCAGTACAGTGGTTAGCACTTAATAGTAGATCCTCAAAAGATGCCTGTTGACTGAGTGATTGAAAGAATCGGTCATTCCAATGAAGATAAATCCTAACATCAAAAAAAGAGTCTCAGGTGCTCAATTCCAGACTTCCAGCTATCTCATTGTCCTCAAGTTTCCAGACTGTAGAAATAAAAGGATTAGGGGAAATTATTGACCTTGATGGCAAGTATGGAAGAGAGAGCAGAGAGACTGGGGATGAAACTCAAGAGGGTCATCAATGTTGACTAAGTGATGATCAAAGAAGGGTAACTAGATGGCAGCCAATGCAGGAAAATTCTCTCTCCCCTTCTCCTCTCTTCTCGTCTCCTTTCTCCTCCTCTCCTCTCTCTTTCTACACACACACACGCACACACACACACACACCCTCTACCATACATACGTCAAATGGAGAGCAGCAAACATCTTCCAAACGAGAAAATGGAGGAGGCTGCTCACTGCCAGTGATCCTGTTTGGTGTCTTTTCCACTCTCACCACCTTTTCTTCCTTCCCATCTCCCTCTCTCTTACTTTCCATTCCTCTTTCTCTTCTCTTTGCCCCTGTATATCTCTCTCATCTTCTTCCTCTCCCTCATGATTTCCCTCCCACCCCCCCTCTCCTTAATATGAAGCCAATATATTATCATGATAGAATCTGAAATATGAGGGAAATATGGCTCAGGAGACAACAGATAAATACAGAGGTGGGGTTTTCTCAATCCAGTAGTACAGGCTCTGAGGCCTTGGAGATCTTGGGCATGTCAGAGCGTCCTCTCCCGTCCAAGGGCTTCATGCTGGTACTATTCTGCATTGCAGTGAGACTCAGAAACCTGAATGAAATAAAACATGTGGAGTGGAGGGTCCACAGTCAAGCCCCATCCCCCACCCAGCTGTTTCTGTTGTTCATTCCACCAGTGTCCAGAGTGGTTACATCATGCCGTACACCAGTGTAGACCTGGGGTGAGGGTAAAGGAAGTACAAAGATTGCCCTCAGAGAACATGACAGGGTTCTCCTGGGAGACAAGTCACAGGGACAAGGGTAAAGAAATGGGAGCCAGATCTCAGGTACAGCTGCCTTTCTCTCTGCAATAGAAGTGAAGCAGGAGCCATGTTCTAAACAGCTGCCTTACTCTGTAGCACACATGGCCAGAAGGGACCATGTGACAGTAGGGCATTGATCCCTTTCACGAAGTTGCTTCCCAACCCTTGTGCCTCTTACAGAGCATAAAGTCCTGACATTTCAGGTTCTGTACATTTCTACTGCTTGCTAAATGCTCTCTAAAGTTCAGCCCAAAGATGGAGGTAGGGACTGATGACGATGGTGGAGACTGCAGGGGACTGGATCCTGAGATACTTAAACCGACTCCTGAAAAGTGGAAGGAGGGCCTTCTGGCCTCCTCTCCCTGAGGGGATGCTTCAGAGCCTGCACGTCCGCTCCTCCGGCCCACAGCAGCTCAAAAACCACTCTTCCCCGCTGTGTTTTCTTTCAAGCAGAACTCTTTTCAAACAATAACAGAGCCAGGCTCTGACTCTCTAGAATCTTGACACTAGCGCTGGAAAACACCCAACAGGTGTCTAAAGCATCAATGGTGGATGCAGGAGAGATGGGCATCCTGGCAGGGTGTGGCAGAGCAGACTTGGACTTGAATCCCTCTCCTACATTCAATAGCGCTGTGACCTCTGCACATCAGTTAGCTGTTCTGTCTCCTCTCCATCGTCAGCTCACCTTCTTTTTCTTCTCTGCCAAATGACTCTGCTTTTCCATGGTTCTCTGGGTAGGCTCTGTAACGGTGGCAGAGAAAAAAAACAAACAAAAATTTAGGTAAGAAGGAAGTAAAGGACACACTATTTCCAGCTCCAGGCAGGAGACTAGCCATCTGACCAGAGGGAGCTGTATAGGTGGAGATCTTCCTGCAGCATTATGGTTCTTGAACTCCTGGTCCTCTTGGCTTCACTAGGAGAGAGACCATTCCATTGAGATCATTGACCTAACCATAGCAGCACAAATTAAGTTGGCCTCAGGGGTCTCCCCTGAGGAGACAGAGATTGGAGGTCCTCTCCTTCATGAATGCAAACGACAAGCAAATATTCAGAGGCTGGACATTCCATATAAAATGAGAATTCAAAGTATATCAAAATAGGGGGAAAAGTCTGGTGTTCTCCATTGCAGCTGGGTGACTAGTTCACAACAATTTATTCTGTGTTCTACTAAGAAACAAGAGTTGGAAGGTTCCCTGCACAAAGAAGCAGGTAGAAATATAAATTGCCCTGGTTTATTATTATACAGCATGTACTAGTATCTATGCCATACATATATATATAGAGAGAGAGAGAGAGGATTTTAAAAATAATAATTTGGAATGATAAAAGGGATCCAACAGCTTTTTGAAATTATATGGCGCGGAGACAATCCTGCCTGTGCTTTTTTATATATATGCAGAATTTCTCTGTAGATTCAAACTGCCTCATCCTACTTCAGTCCTATCAACCTGCTATTCAGCTCAGACCTGCAGGTAATAGAGGAGGCGGTCTGGAAACTGGAGCGAGAAAGTGTCATTATAAAAGTGGCCACTGCTTGGTGTCCTGGGCCTCAAGGGTGCTATTCTGAGTAGGGCTGGCATTCAACTGGGTTATACCAGTGAGACCAGATCCTTTGTCCCATACTGAAACTTGGTGATTCCAGCAGGTAGGTGACCCTTCCCTGAGCCCTCTAGGGCCCACCTGCCCCACTTTGCCGAACTTC